TCCTGCTCCAGCAGGGCAGGCTGGAGCTGGCTGGGGAACTTGGAGAAGCCAGGGCTGGCACCCTGCCCAGTACTGCACTTGGGGTTGCTGTGGTGGCACCACCCACTAGATGCTCTGAGACAGGGTCCGGGGGTGGAGGTGGGGGACCATTGGCCTGGGACAGGAGGGAGCCAGCAATGGGGGAGGAGAGCTCTGGGCTCCAGCAGGGACTACAAGGGGAGGAGGAATGATAGGGCCTCAGGCAGGAGGGGAGGGAAGGGGCCAGAGCATAGGGCTAGACTCTCTTAAGTGCTGGTAAAACTACTTCTGCTAAACAATCAGTTTCATCTGGTATTTAGCACATTTCCCAGACCCTAAATACAACTCTGGGTAGCACAAAAGATTCTCTCTCACCAATAGAAGTTGGTCTAGTAAAAGATATAACCTCACCCACCTTGTGTCTTTAATATCCTAGGACCAACATGGCCAGAGCAACACTATATATGTTAGAATATAACATTTTAAAAAATATTAAATATGCTTTAATCATAATTGGATACAAAACTATCTTCAACTCAATGGACTACAATTGGACCTAACATTTAAAAAGCAACTATAGACGTGAAACTGCAGCTTATTCACCAAAAATATCATTTACAAATACAGTGGTCCTCACACAACTGGGTGTAGTTGTGTAGTCTGGAAGAGTCATGGGGGACATTTGTCCCCCATCCCCACCCCCAACAGAGCTGAGGTATGGGGGGACTAAATTGCCCACTCTGGTTTGATGAATTCTGGAGGCTTCATCATATGACATTAGCCTTAACTGAAGATTAATCTTTAATTCCTGGAGAATCCAGGACAATCCTCCCTACCCCAGGGGTGGCACATGGGGAGATCAAGAAGGCACACCATGGTGGGAGGGTGTAACGGGGCAGTTGTCCTGGGGTCCAATGATTCAAAATGGCCCGCACACTCTGGGCAGCTCTGAAGGCTGGCTGGGGTTGAGGGTGCAGGCACTCTGGATGATTCTGAGGCCCTACCTCTTCTGCCCAAGGTCCTGCCCCTCCCTGGAGCATGGAGCCTGCCCCCCCCCCCAACTTTGCCGAGGGTCTGGTGAGTCTCTTGGCTCCCCTGGCAGGGCCAGAGCCTCTAGGCAGTCCAGGGGACTAGTAGGAGGGCCTGGTGCCCAAAGCAGGAGCTCTGTACTCCCTGGCAGCAGCAGGGGAAGCAGAGCCATATGGACCCAGCTCATTCGGCTCTCCTAAGCTATGTCTACACAGCAACACTATTTTGAAATAACAGTCCACGTCCACATAGTCGGCAGTTATTTAGACATAATGTTGAAATACTGTCAAGCTGGAGGACTTCTTACTCCAACTCCTGTAATCCTCATTGTATGAGGTGTGAGGGAAGTCAGAGGAAGAGTGCGCCATTTTGAAATAAGTGCTGGATAGACAGCACCAAAACTCAAAATAAGCTATTTTGAAATAACCTACACAGTTGACGTAGCTCAATTTGCATAGCTTATTTATGCACTGCTTGGGGGAAAAGAGGGGACCACTCCTGTACTCACTGGCAGGAAGTGGAGCAATGCAACTGAGGGAGCAGAGTGAGCTGGGGTCGCATTGCTCCAATTCCCCCACTGCTGCTGGGTGAGTGTGGCTGTGGGTCCCCTGATGCCAGCGACCCTTACCCCAATACTCCCTGGGGCCACATTGATCGGGGAATGGGAATGAAGGAAAAGGTGAGATGGAAGCAGAACAATGGCAGGGAAGAGGAGGGGGGGTCAGAGCAGGGGCAAGGAGAGATGGAGATGGGGGGGTTGTCCCAGCTCTCCCTGAGGATGGGATGGTGGTCACATGGTCAGTGGCCCCCTTTTCCCTCCTAAGCAGTCACTTCTACTCCACCCTCCTAACTTCTGCAAGCACTGAGCTGCCCAGGTAGATTTACTCTGCCCAACCTCCAGGCAGGGAACCTCTGTCCTTCCCACACTGCACCTTCCCCAATGGTAGGCCAGGCAGCTGAGCCAGTGTGGGGAGCAGGATGAAACAGCTGCTCCAGGTTGCTACCTTGGCAGCTGGAGACCACCTCCTGGGTCCTACCACCTGCCTTTTTCTTGTGGAAAAGTGAGTGCCCACAGGGAGCAGGGAAAAGGGGACTGGGTGTGGCTGGGCAAAAAGGT